GCGGAGACGGAGAGCCAACAAGCCAGGGGGATGCCGAGGATCTGGGGGGCCAGGGTGGAGCCGAGGGCTCTGGCGACCGAGGCGGAGATCCGGAGATCCGTGGTGGAGCCGGAGCGACTGAGGACCAAGGTGGAGCTGGAGGGATGGAGGAGCCCAACGGAGCCGGTGGGACAGAGCGACAAGGTGTAGCCAGAGGAGCAGAGGCCTGAGGCGGTGGCGGGTCGACGCCAACCAAGGCGGAGCCGGAGGGACGAGGGAGCCCGGTGGAGCTGGTGGATCGATGGGTGATGGTGGAGGTGAGGGAGCTAGGAGACGGGGTGGAGCCCCTGGGTCAATGGGTCGAGGCGGAGTCCGGGACTCGGAGCCTGGAGGGCGGAGGTGAGGGATCCTCCAACCCTGACACCGATGGCAACTGGCAGACCTGTGGCAAATCCACAGCATAGATGGTGGGCTGAGGGTGAGCTGAGGGGCTGTCAGTGGACGGCGGTGGCAATGTTGAGGATGGATGAAGAGGTGGTGGGAGAGGGAGGTTGGGTGGGATTTCAGGATATTCGGAAGGTTCATCAGGAGGCAGAAGATCAGGCATATCGGCAAACTCGTCCAGATTAATTCCTGAGTCCAGTACTATCTCACCCTCAGCGGTGTTGCAGCGGGTGGAGCTCTTCGTCACTCCCTCCTTCTCCACCGCAGTTTTCTTGCTCGGGGGCGCTGTAGCTGGCTCACACACCTGATCAGATGGAATGGACTCTGCTTCCAGGGCGATCCTCAGCTCTGTCGCTCTCTTTGGTGATGGCTCGTCGGTTGCGGCGGGCTCGGGCTTTCCGTCATCGGTGGGCTCAGGCTCTTGCTCCGCGCAGCGGGGTGATGGTAGGCTCAGCGGCGATCCACAAGACACCAGCACCCACTCCACAAAGGCGGCAAAGCTCTCCCGAGGACCATCCCCTGACAACTGCTCCCTTGTGGTGTTGTTCAGTCCAGCTCGGCAGAACGAGTAGAGGCAGTTGTCCGGGTAGTGCGTGTAATTTGACAGGAACACGAAGTCCTCAATGTGGTCCTTGAGAGAGCGGTCCCCCTGCTCCAGCAGGAGGACAAGGACAGCAGGATCATTCATGATAAAATAAAAACTTTCAAGAACAAAAACAAAACGAGGGGAATACGCCGCTTACACCCCTTTATAGGCCGGTTATTCTGTCACGCGTACGTCAAGAGCACGAACACGAAGATAACGCAATATAAGATCTCCAGACGATGAAGGTTAAAGGGGTCATATGATGCGATTTCAAATTTTCCTTTCTCTTTGGAGTGTTACAAGCTGATTGTGCATAGATAAGATCCCTGAAGTTGCAAAGACTAAAGTCTCAAAACCAAAGAGATATTCTTTATCAAAGTTAAGACTCTGCCACGCCCCCCTAAAATGGCTCATTCTAACACGCCCCCACATATCTAGGTCACTATGTGGGAATATCACGTCTCGTCAGCCCCGTTACACAGGTGCTGAGGGTTAACTGATAATTGATTAATGAACTAATGCACTAAAGATAACAGGAACGGAACCAAATATGGGCAAACATGAACCTAAACCAGAACTTAATGAACTAATGCACTAAAGACAACAGGAACGGAACCAAATATGGGCAAACATGAACCTAAACCAGAACAGAAGACAGAAACTAAATGAAACGCAGAACAGAGTTCATATCTGTGACACCTTCCTTGGAGTGTATATGTTTAAGAATAGTTTGAATTTGTATTCAAAAATCTTTTTAGCAACTTTCTCCTCGCAGATTTCACCTTTAGCTCACTCATTGAGGTTTTCAAAGCACTGATCTCTCTCAATATGCTTTGGATCAATATTTCTTGTGAAAAACACTAAGAAAATGTATTAAATGGAAATATTATTAATTGAAAATGTTTTCCTCCAGGTTTATATATCTAACATCATTAAATATACTATAAAAATATCAACATCCTACTACTATATTAACATTCTGCTACGTTAACATTCTGACTACGATGTAAATATTTGCATATAATTTTCAGTAATTTCTTTAGACTTCAGTAGTATTATTTAATTTTGCATTTATTTAATTTAACTTGTCATCATAATACTGTCCTTACTAATTTCCTCATACAATATTGAATTGTATTTATTTATTTCCTTATTTTGCACTCAATAATTTTTCTTTCTCGAAAGAAATAATACATTTCAAAACTTTTCAGCAGGGGCATTGGTATTTGGTACGTATTTCTCTTTTAAAGAACTGTCATTAGTTTGTCACTAAAGATAACACAATCGGAAGACATTTTGACATTTTAGAACAGTTATATCTGATTCAGTTTAATTAAGATTCAGTTTCTGTTATCATGGCACTATACTGTAGACTTAGCATTGCAGATTTAATGTGATAATTATTCTTTAAATGCCCTGAATTACCTTAAATGTGCTATTGGCTGTATGCATCTCCCACCACAGATATATTTTTGAGTATTTCCTTCAGAAAACGCATAATGCATAATTTCCTGCAATACCACCCACTTCCTGAAAAGAGCCTCCCCCACACGAGCCTACACATGGTTTGCTGTCTGTTTTTGGTCTGCAGTTGAAGTGCACATTTGAAACTTGAAGTAATGTCCTTATTCTTACCTCTGTGGGTGTCCAGATCGCATACAACATAAAACATCATGCACAAAAAGTTAATTCGCTTGAAAGGCATCAAGATACCCTTCTCTGCACCACTGAATGATCCCTGTCGATGGAAACAGGTGCTTCTGCAGGCAATAAAATGACTGTTGATTCGATTACCTGCCGTTTCATCACCTGTGTTCATGGAGGTTATCGATAGGGCGTCACATTACTGATTCTGCCTCAATTCAATTAGCTGAAAAGATATGTGAGACGCTCTCTGGTCATACCGTGCTAACGCTGTTAGCATCACCGCAGTCCTTGCTTGAGGATGCTTTGTATGGTATGGTGGTGAATGTTTAAGTGAAGAGAACAAGACGATATCTTTATCTTGCACCTACACCAGCTTGCCCGAGTAATACATAATGTATTTTTTATCCGAACAACCAGCGTGGCTCACAAAAGGAGCAGTTTTAAAGAGAAAAAAGCAGTTGAATACAGCTCATGCACAGGTGTGAGGTGTTTGTAGGTTTTTTCACTTTTGTCGTCCTGCAGTGCGCAACGTATATCAAGGCTGCTAAGCAATTAAGCTAATTGGTCACAGAGGCATTCATTATTGACGTGTCATGCTAAACACTTAGCTTTTGGAGCTGCCGCTGCCACATTAGTTGTTTTGAACGGAAATGCGATTTCAGAGCGAATGCAAAATAATGTTACTGCCACTGTTCCAGTTCACTTACTCAAATGAAATCTTCATTGAATGCATTAAATGGCATATTTAAATGTGGCTATAGCCGGTTACAGTTCTCACTTAAGCTTTTATGGATGTAATAGAATATTCAAAAAAACATTGAAGGTTCAAAGGCTGAATCTGTGAAGGGTTTTAATGTGTGTGCCTTTGCGTGTATACATGTGTAGCCTTTGTAAGGCTGTAGGAATGTGTCATCCGGTACAGATGCTTTTTATACCACAGTATATCTTCTGTAAAATGGTTTCTTTCTGACATGCTGGGAGTCCAGTTTAGACACAGTGTGATTATTATACCAATGCAATAATATAGTTACTATAATAATGTATAATTTAACAGCCATCACTGCTATTCATATCAGCTATTTTTAAAGTCTTGTTTTGGCTTGTTAAATATGTTGCTCACTACCATTTAAAAGTTTGGGGTCAGTCAAGGTTTTTTTTTTTTTTTTTTTTACTTTTGACTTTTATTTGAAACAAATGTTGTTCTTTTGAACTTTCTATTTATTTGTATAACCCTGAAAATATATATTAGTTTAAACAAAAATATTAAGCAGCATAGCTGTTTACAAAATTGATAATAAGTTATAATGTTATTGAGCAATAAATCAGCAAATTAAAATTATTTCTGAAGGATCATGTAACACTGAAGACTGATGGCTGCTGAAAATGTCTTTACGTTGCATTTTAAAATATAGTTGAATAGAAAATAGTTATTTTAAATTGTAATTATATTTCACAATGGTACTGTTTTTTTTACTGAATTTTTGACTAAATATATATAAATATATGTTTTATATATATTTAAAAAACCTTTCTTTGGTTATTATGGCTATTAAAAAAAACAATGGGGAAAATATTATCTTAGAACATAATGCATACAGGCATATATTTGCAAGAATAATAACTCTATACCATATCTAAACAACTTGAAGATTTTGGTCATACTGCCCGATTCATGTCTATTCCCCCCCAGGTCACCTTGAGTTACAAGAACATAACTTAAGAGTGTCAAAGAGAATGGTAAACGGGCAGGAAAAGAAGAGTTATGGATGAGAAAAAGAGGGATGGGGAAGGGAAATGAGAGGAGGAATATGTCACAGAGGACGAAAAGAGTGAAAGCGAGGTATGGGGCTTTAAGATAAGATGGAAACGGACACAATCAGAGGGGATAAGCTGTCCCGGAGTGGCCATATCTTCCTCAGTCAGACCTGATGAGTGAAGATGAAAGTGGGGTCGATATTATTGAGGGTTAAAGTTCTCTATTTCATGTTAATATCCATTGATGAATGGGCTATATTTTTTTACCTGCTTTTAGCTCATGGATGAATGAGCGGTGGGATAGCTTCATCAGGCATAGTCACCTTTTCAGGGACATTTTCTGCGGCAGCAAGTCCATTTTTCATCAAAGATAAGATGTATCACCTCAAAAGAGTCCTTTCTTGACCGTTTTTACATTGGAAGTCATACTAGGTGACTTGTGAATGAATGCGGTCATCTTAACCATGCTAACTATGGTTAACATTCCTTTTTATCTATAGAATGATATGTGATATTGGTTTCAAGTGTCAGACTTTATTTCTCCTAAGCTAATATGTCAATCTCTCCTTTTCTCTTGAATTTTCTGCAGTGGTGTTTGAAGACTGCGCTGGAAATGAGGGTGTGGAGTTTGAAGTATCAAACCCTGACTTCCTAATAGACGAGAAATTGAATCTGGTTCCCAGAAGAGACGTGATTGACAGCGGAGATGTCATGTTTGTCCATGGTGTCAACAATCATGTCGATGACATGGCACAAGTGACCATTATGGGAGCACCTTCCAGATCTCCTCAGACACTCAGGGTAAGCGTTTCTCTGTGAGTTGATTTTGTGTGTGTCAATTTGTTAAATGGCCTGAAGTCTTCAATCTTGTCATTTTAAATGGTCTTCTACACTGGGGACATCATATGTCTGGACACCCATGATTCTGTTCTTTCAGAACTGCATGTATGCGTCAGTCAGTGTGTCTTTACTGCCATCATATTGACAGACTCCAGCTCAGACTAGAAATGACCCATCATGTCCTGTCATGGTATCCATGAGGACAGCCACATATGTGACCCTGGACCACAAAACCAGTCTTAAGTCGCTTGGGTATATTTTTAGCAATAGCCAAAAAAACATTGTATGGGTCAAAATTATCGATTTTTCTTTTATGCCAAAAATCATTAAGATATTAAGTAAAGATCATGTTCCATGAAGATATTTTGCACATTTCCTACCGTAAATATATCAAAACGTAATTTTTGATTAGTAATATGCATTGCTAAGAACTTCATTTGGACAACTTTAAAGGCGATTTTCTCAGTATTTAGATTTTTTTGCACCCTCAGATTCCAGATTTTCAAATAGTTGTATCTCGGCCAAATATTGTCCTATCCTAACAAACCATACATCAATGGAAAGCTTATTTATTCATATTTTCAATTTCAAAATTGACCCTTATGACTGGTTTTGTGGTCCAGGGTCACATATTTCATTTAAAGGAGACCATTGGCAGAAATTAACCTTTTCTTTTTCTTTTTCTTTTCTTTTTTTATTAAGGGGGAGAAATTGCCCCAGTGGGGCTTTTTTATGTTCATAAAGGCATTTTTTTTCTCTAACCGTATTAAAAAAACACAGCATGTTGTCTAATTATGTTAAATACTTAATTTGAATCAATTCATTACAATGAATTTTCAATCTGACCAATTAAGACTCTTACCTTTGAAATTAAATGAACATTAAATAACAGTAGATGTACACCATGCACAAGATGTTATAACATATACATTTAAAATAATATCTTGAATTCTTTTTTGGAGGGTTTTCTTGGTTAATATTGATTGTAATTTAATTTCAATATAGACTATATACTACTTTAAAATTATGGGGTCAGTAAGATTTTCTCTTTAAGAAATTAATACTTTTATTCAGCAAGGATGCATTAAATTGATCATAAGCGATATTAAAGACTTTCACTTTGGGATAAAATATTTATATTTCAAGTAATTGCTCCTTTGAACTTTCTATTCATCAAACAATCCTGAAAAGAGTATCACAGTATCCATGCAAATATTAAGTAGCACAACCGTTTTCAATGTTGATAAAAATAAGAAATATCTCTTAAGCAAATCAGCATATTAGAATGATTTCTGAAGGATCATGTGACACTGAAGACTAGAGTAATGGCTGCTGAAAATTCAGATTTTCATCACAGAAATAAATTACATTTGAAAATATATTAAAGTCATAATGTAATTATTTTTCACAATATTACTGTTTTCTTAATGCATTTTTTATCAAATAAATAGAGCTTTGGTGAATGTAAAAAACTTCTTTCAAAAACATTAACAAATCTTACTGACCAAAAAACTTTTGAACAGTAAGTGTGTGTGTGTGTGTGTGTGTGTGTGTG